GCCGACCCACAAATCCCCATACACTCACACGACGCCCCTCAAACCTCCCTTCCACATAAATACCTGCATATATTTCTACAGAAGTTTCAAATAATGTTATATTTAGTTTATTTGGTAAAAAAATAAATGTATTTATTTTGCATAATTTTGAATTCTCCTGGGCAAAATTCCCTGGGGTGTAACAATACAGGGTGCTGACACTTTAACAACAGTGAATTAATATGGCAAAACAGAGTATTTTGAAGGGGACAGGGTGGAGAATGCAGCCCTCCCAAAATTAAAGCCCCTCCTCCACTCATTCCGTAGCTGGAGCGAGCTAAGCTCAAGGCAGAAAAAGGTATCCTTTCACCTCTAAATAAAAGTACCCAAAGAAACAAGCTCTGAATGGTGTTTACCACACACTAATCTTACTAAGCTGCTGTGATACTCATCACAAGCAAGCAAGCTGGCCAAAAAAAATCTACATTTGATCATGCATATATTGCTGCTCATATAAAAAAAAATAGCAAGTCAAAGATTGCAATTACCAGGTTCTCTCTAATACAGTGTTTGTCAACCCATAGGTCGGGAACCAAAAGTGGGTCACAAGAAAATTTCAAAGGGTTGCGAGCTGTGGCAGGGCAGAGGGGCAACAGGAAGGTGCCTACCCCTTCCAATGGGGAAAGGGGGTTGGGGAGAGCTGCATGGCTGAGCTGGAAGCAGCAGGGCCAGGGTCTGTACTCGCAGAGGCAGGGCAGCTGGAAGACACTGCTGGGGGGATGAGTGGCCATGATCAGGCTGCCTGGTATGGTGCAGCAGTCCCAGACTAGGGCAGGGGGTGCCACCAGGCCTCTCCTCCCTCTCCCTCCAGCCCATGCCAGGGCTGGACTCATTCCGCTCTACCCGCATGAGTCAGAGTCGCCACAGCCACCATACTCCGGCCTGAGCGGGACTGGGGGCAGCTGGGGGTCCCTTCAGCAGGGCTGGGGGGGCAGGGGCTGTGGGTCAGGAGTGAGGGACACAAGCACGGCCAGAGGTGGGGTGGGGAGGGAGACAGGGAAATGGGGGTCAGGCACCAGCAGGGCCAGGGAAGTATGGGTTGGGACCAGCCACGTATCTTTACAAGTTGGCCCTAGTAGGAAAAAGGTTGAGAACCACTGCTCTAATAGACTGCTGATCTGCTCTTTCATCTTCAAGGTGTCTAATGATAAACAGACTTCTCTTAACAATGTTATAATGAAAACAGGTAGCTCCTAGTGAACAAATTAGTGCACTCGTTATAAAAGACAGGACCAAACTCCCAGGGTTTGTGTATCATTTTTTTAAGCACATGATTACAAGTAATGGCTGGCGAATAGGAACTACAAATTCTTATCTATGCAGTCTAGCACAGATATCAACAATTTTGTTTATAAAACAGCTATAATTTACTGTAGTTTAATTCATCTGCATTTTTGGTACAAAAGTACTATTTTTGCTAGAAGTTACCCAAGCTCAGGCAGGAGACAGTTCCAGGGTCCCTACTCAGCAAAGAACTTAAGCATGCAGGTAGCTTTCAATAGGCCTCAAAGGGACTTAAGAATTTGCTTAACAATAAATAAATACCATGACCACCAACATGGTTTTCCTAGTGGTAGGGGAAAACCATGAATGTGGTGGGGGGTTAGCACCCTGACTGAGGTATGCATAATTATTCTCCAACTTTCACTTCCAGTGGGAGGATCTTGGCTATACGCCGACTTTATAGAAATGGGAGACTCCCCACTAGCTTGCTCCTGCAGCCGTACAGTTGAAGGTAAGCGAAACTCAGGGGCATCTGAACCCCAAGTCTCCGGGCTTGGACCTGCATGTGGGATGCCCGCCAAAGGATTTGGAAGCATCTGAAGCCAAAGGCAGGGGTGGAGGATACTAGCCGGCAGCAGGGCCACATACGGTTCTAGAATGACTTGCATTGATTGATTTGGCCGATTTGACTTGGGGCACGAAACATTTTCCTTAAAAATAAGTTAAAAAGTGCTTACCAATAAGCACAAGCTAAGATTTAAGTGCTGATCATGGCCTAACACATGTATGTAAAGAAGTATAATGCAAAATACCAAAAGAAATACAAAGGTCCTGTCACATTATTTTAAAATATCCATAGAGAGGACTCGAACCTGCTTTAAATGTGCAGTTCTCATCAACCAACAGAACGTTAGCAAAATGAGATTTAGGTGGGGGGTTTTTTATCTATGAAAATTTGGCCTTTACATGATTTTTATCCTTCAGAGTCCCAGTGAAATAAAAAATGGCAATAAAAGCACAGGCTTGAGCCTTAAGTAGAAGAGAAGGTAAAATCTGAAGTATTTTGGCAGTCTAATCACAGAGATCACATGAGCTGCCACTAGTAAGCTGCCTAGTCATGACAAATACAGAAATTTCTACCTTATGGTGGACATTTTTAGGAGCAGAAGGAAGTATCATCCAAGGAAAACTACACAACATTTTAGCTGGTTTTCAGCGGAAGGGTTTGTGTTGAAAGCAAAAGCAAGGATCTTTCAAATACTTCATGTACCTTACATGCAGGCTTACCTGAAAGGTAAGTGCTTGTGGAGCTGGGGATTGGTATGTTTTTTTCTCAGAAGTAGAGAAACATGGGAACCACCACACTGTACTTGGCTCCACATGGCCTACCTGTCTCTAAGGCAATGACCAGCTACAAATACTTTGGAGGAAAGTGCACAAACACAACACTACCAAGATGGGGAATAAGCGGCTTCCCACTGAGGTCTCAACCTGGTCTCTAGCAGTTATTATTTATGTCACAGTAGCTCCTAGGAGACCTCTTCAGGGACTCAATCCAATCGGGTAAGGTACTGTGCAAAACAAAACTAAGGAAGTCGCTGCCCCAAAATGTTTAGTTTAAGTCTTGCAGTACAAAAAAATCAGTTGTAACAATACTTGACAATCCAGTCCCTTTGTAAATCCCGTTCTGCTCTCCATCTTACCCAACAGCTTCCTTGTAACAAATGCCACAATTTAAATAACGTGTGAAACACCTCTTCATACCAGTTTTCAATCTCCCTCTTTAATTTCAGCGCATTTCCCTTTATTCTCGAGTCCACACAGGGTGAAGCGCAGACTGCCCTTGTCTCAACCATTCATTATATTCTATACAGGCCGTCCTCAGACTTACAGCACCACTGGATCCTGAAAACCGCATCTTAGGTCGAAACGTTGTAACTTGGAATTGACTTTCCCACAGGAAACAATGTTATAATTGGGGGACTGGTTCTGAACCAAGGCCTGATACCCTCTTTTCACCAAAAATAACTCAACATTTTGTACTCAATCAATTATACATGAGTAATATAGTGACAGTAAAAGGCAATCAAGACTCATAGTACAGACGATCTCTTTTATTAGACCAACAAGATTTTTGCAAAAAGGAAAAGAATTTTTTTGCAAAAATCTTGTTGGCTTAATAAAAGAGCTCACCTCTACTACAAGTCCTGACTGCCTTTTCCTCTAGACCAATACAGCTACA